TTGAGTTTTAAGTAATATGCATTAATAAACAGTACTTTACGAATAAAAAGTGGTTTTTAAAAGTTTCTGACAAATACTTTATAATATAGTATAGATAATAATAAATAATTGTTTATTTATTAGTTAAATATCATTTATTTATTTTTGATATTTCTTTTATGTCAGTTGAGTTTTGTTGGTATATCTTTAAGGTGGCGTTTGTTTTTTAAGAAGTGCTGAAGTCTGAAGTCTGAATTCACTTCTGAATTTTAAGAGGTGGTGCTAAAGTCTGAAATCTGAATCAGTCAGACTGTTTGTTTTTACGTCTGAAATCTGAAATTTGAATCAGTCAGGCTGTTTGCTTTTACGTCTGAAGTCTGAGAGTTCCAGAAGATCGAAGAACACCAATCGAAGCTTGAATCGAGCTAAGGGACGAGACAAAAACAGAGGGCGAGATCGGATGTATAAAGAACACCAGCTTCAATCGATGAATGGGACGAGAGAGATCGAGATGTATAAAGAAGCAGATCGAGAAGAAACCAAAGAGAGATCGAGAAGATTACCAGAACATCAGCTTGAATCTGCGATGTATGAAGAACACCAGCTTCAATCGATGAATGGGACGAGAGCGGATGAGAGCGACGTAAAGGAGGCGGATGAGAGCGACATAAGGAAGCGGATAAACAAATAAGAGGTATTAAGAGCTAGGGTTACCACTTAAAAATTCAGAGGAAACCTTATGAATTCAGCTCTTAATTTGCGGAAAAAAACAAACGATCTGAAATTCTATATATCTGACCGATTCAGACGTAAGAGGAAATTAAGAGGCAAATTTTAAAAAACAAACAGGCCCTAAGATTTGTATTCAAGTATAAAATAATTTTATTACTTATGATTTCCTTTTCTTAAATATGATTCAATAAATTATTATTATTATTCTTCTTTTTATCTCAATATAATATTATATATATATATATATATATATATATATATACTAGTTGTGTATCCATGCAATACGTCATGATGCAAAATTTAACTATAAAATAGAAAAAAAAATTGCATAAATACGAGATTCCAATTGAAGTTCAAGTACTTTAGATAGCGATCTCATTCCATGTGAAATATTGGGGATGTAAAAGGCTTAAACAACAAATGCAGAAAAAAAAAACATATCATGGAGAATTTACGTAATGACATTCATCAATCCTTCTCCTAAATGTTTTGGAGAAAAAACATGTCATAGCAAAATCACATAATGTATTGCACTTCATAATATTGGGGGAGTAGTTTTCAATTAAGCAATCCTTTATAAAATAATCATTGAATAAGATAAGAGGTGTTGAAGTTTGTATCTTCTTTTACTTCTGATTGATAAGAGATGGTGCTGAAGTCTGAAATGTGAATCAATAAGACTGATTTTGTAAACTGATAAATATCTGAATTTGTATTTTTGAAGTTCGTTTTCAATTTTCGTTCCAGATTTTGAGTTCGTTCTCGATTTCGTTCCAGACAAACCTTTGAAGTTTCTGAAGTTCGATTTCATTCCGAAGTTCGATTTTGTTCCAGATGTTCGTTTGAAGTCTCTGTTCATCTTTCCCCAAACCTAACCATAACCCTCGTCTTTCAAGTACATATTGTTCATTGATTGTTTGCGGTTCAGATTGTTCTAGATTTCATATTTTTTTTTTTGTTTAGATTGTTCATTGATCCCCTCAATTTCAAAAAATTTCTTATTGATTCCCACAAGTTCATATCTCTGTTGAAGTTTATCTGATGAATTGATGGGGTAAAACAGTCATTTCAATCATTCAAACGGTTAATTCAGTAAAAAAAGTTAACAACAATAAATTTTTATCTAAACAAACAAGTTTATCCAAATAAAACTTAGAGATTGTTTATTTGCTTCTTAGTGGCTCTTATCAGGTAAGATGATCTTACCCTAATAAAAAATAATATGTTTACAATCATCTTATTATGAAAAGAGATTCTGACCGGTCTTCTTACCCAATCACCCCCTTTCAGTGACCTTCCCTTTTCTTACCGTGGTCAGATGACCCTTTTAAATTCTTTTACCAATTTTATGTAGGAGTGTTCATTCAAACCGTCAAAACCGTATAAACCGTCCACAGGGCACCGCATCGCACTGCAAAAGTGTGGTTTATAACTTTTATGGTGAGGTTTGCGATTTGTATTTTTACCAAACCGCACAATGCGGTGCGGTTTGCGATTTTGAGTTATTAAACCATTGTTCAAACCGCACTGCACTGCATATTTTGTATTTTAAATTTTAAATATAACATATATATAATATATATAATTTAGTATTTATGTAATATTTTTCGACTTTGAGTTTGATCCAATTGGCAATATTAATAAATTAACTTAATAGTTTTGTACTAGTTTTAATTATACAATATGTATACGGGAATTAGAGTACTGAATTTTTTTTATTTTTTTGGACTACGGTCACTTTATCGTTGATTATAAATGTATTTTTAAACTTATAATTATTGGATTATAGGCATAAAGTGCAATAGGGACAAACTGCATAAACCAAATGCGGTGCGGTTTGATACGGTTTGAGATTTATAAGGCGCGGTTTGAAAAAAATGTAAAACCGCATATACAATATAGTTTGCAGTTTTACTCCAAACCACACCACAAACACCCCTGATTTTGTCCTTTCAACAAACAGTTTCCAAAGAAAGCCATCAAGAAAAAGGTTGAATACCCAACAACCATCGGACAAATAAAGAACTCAAACAACATATTATTGGGAAAGGGGATGAAGAAAATCTACAGTGAAAAGTTTGAGAAAAAAGAGCAAAACTTCAAAGTATTCAAGGAATATGATGTAATATTTATTATCAAATAACTGGTCGTTTACCAAATATTTAACCGGTAAGCGCTTATCGGTAAATTTAACAATATTATTTACTTACCGGGTAAGATTTTAGTCCACCAAGACAGTATCGTACGCACCAATTTACCTGGTATGCGTTTACCATGGTAAGAGTCGTCGTCCTCACTTACCGGGTAAGACTCTTGGTATTTGTCTCGCTCTTACCGGGTAAGATTTTTGGTCCTTACCATATTCGCCCGGTAAGGTAACGTAACCTGATATTCACTTACCCGAGTAAGCGTTTGATAAACAGCCCCTAAGTAGATCTATACAATCAAAATCTTGGCAAATTAATTAGAGGGAGATTTATTTAGAAACCTTAAATATTTTAAAATTCCAGTAACCATCTTTTTGTGAATACTCATAAAAAGGCGTCCCGGGTTCCTAAAATTAATAAAAATATTTAAGGTTTCTAGACAAAAAAACATATATATGATCATAAGATCAACTATGTGAAACTGGTAATAGTATTACAACCAATGGATCAAATACAACACGACTACGAACTTCTTAAATAATACATGTTAAACAGTAAACTCGCCCGTTATGTTTATAATCATATTAGCAAATACGTACGAACTACAATGGTGTATGACCCTCCCGAGACACCCATAGGCCAACTACAACAACATAGGAGAGATCAAACAAATAAATAGCAGCAACTTATTTATGTAGGTGCAGTCAAACTACATACCGTATATCAGTTCATCAAGTGGCTTTTCGTTTGAAGAGGAAACGATGTTGCTGCTTAATCAATCATCCTTGTTGACACACGCAATCAGGAACAGGGTATGTGTATATGGATTGTTTCGCTTTTCGTACCTTAATCTCACCCAGTCGGTTTCTTTGCCCTTCGATCACTGCTTCCTGGAAACCTGACCAACTCATGCTCTTATTCATGAACACCTGTCCCAGTAACGCCATGTTTGGCCTGATCGTCTTCAGATTCAGATAAGTTCGGTGTCCCACCTGCCACGATTCAAGATGCGTTGAATCAATCGAACATGACAAAAAACGGAAAGTTAGTGATGATTTGATATGTGATCTATGAGTACCACTGCGTTGTGCATGTTTCCAGGAGATGCAGAAACGAAGATATCACTATGCATGCTGACATAGTAATCGACAGCAGCCGATAACGAAGCTTTCCCTTTTATTTGGGCCCTTTCCGCTGCCGATGCAAGGCTCTTTTTATCTTCGATTTGTGGAAATAGTTTCCGTAAGGCTGAGATCCGAGCTTCACCACCATATACCTGCCCAAAAAAGATTCAAACTTGTACACTTTCCGAACTCGTTTCTTGAAATCAATCTAGCCAATACCCTTGAGAGTGTTAGCTATCAACTACGTATGAAGTGTTACCTTGTGTGAAGCAAGATATAAGCGGGTACTGTTATCAAATCCCAAAGCAGCCAACAGCAAACCAATTTCTTCTGGGGTCAAAGGACAACGACCCTGGTTTCTCAATTCCTCATTGGTGAACCGAGAGTTCAAGACCCGTCCCTGCCAAATCGCTTGCCGATATCTAGCCAGAGCCTTCTTCTCTGCTTTTCCTCCACCAAAATCGCATGCTGAATGGGCAGCCATGTCCTGAGAGTTCAGTAGTTAACACAATGATCATGTTCTTGAATGATTTTAGCAATTAATATCGATCTTGGAGCTCAAGTTTCAGATAAAATTATGGACGTACCTTGTCAAACCGAAGGTGTAAGGCAACAAACTTTCCTGCTCCTTTTGTATCAACAACTTGTTGAAGGTAACTCCTTTCAACAGCAGGATACCGGAGGCGATTGACCAGCACGTCTCCAAGACTTGTAATATGAGGAATGAACACCAAAGCTTCAAAGTTGACTTTGCAACGTAACCGTTGGATGTCCACGGGCATGTTGTTAAAAGCTAGCCGGTGGGAAAATGGAGAAATGGCAGCTATTCCATAGCTGAAAGAGTACGCGATCGGGATTTCAGATGATACGGAATGAAATCGAATGGAATGTTTTGCAGGATATATGATTAAGTGGTGAAGTTGAAAAATCTAGCATATATTCCAAGTTTCCAACCTGTCTAGGACGGGAGAGACGTTTGCCAGATACCAATTTGCGGAGGCATGAAGTGGTGCGTTTTTAACTCTGGTGGATCTAATGGCCGAGGCGTAATATTCCCTCGTGCTCCACATGTATTCATCAGGCAACGCCCTAACTATCGAGATATCATCCTTCAAAACGTTGATAAAGTGATCCACATCAAAGATATCCATGAAAGTGCTGCAAAAATGCACGATCAACTTTAAACCAAACAAACTCAGTATATTCTACTCCACTCAGATGATGTAAGAAGTACCTCGTGTCTTTCCAAACAGGATTGACTTCGAGATACGGGATTACAAGAGTTGCATTGAGTATTTTGGCAACAGCAACTGCATCACAAATCTAATCAAAGACACATAATAGAGAAATACAAACATAAGAGAATCAGAACAAGGAGATAATGTAAGACTTGTAAAAGATGATATCTTTATTATATATTGAAGTTGTAATTCGACATACATACCCCCATCCTCTGTTGGTTCAATCCTCCATCAAGGAACACTTGGATGTATCCCGAAGACTCCGGCAAAGACGCTGCTTTCATTTAGAGATAAATCCGTTAGAATTCAAATGTATAAACTCATATTGTATAAATTCACACCACTTACAAGAAGGGGAAGTAGATTCAAAACAGGGTTTCCATCCTTGATTGCGCAAAGGGGTCCAAAGATCAGAATCATGATCATTCAACTAAACGAAAATGAAGAGAGTGAATACGAATATGGATATACATATATATATATGTTATGGATATATGTATAACTCACATCTTGGTGTTGTAATGCAGTCTTAAACAGACGTGAGTGCCTTGGCTTTGGATCACTCAGGTCCTGCACAAAAGAAGGGTTTTGGAGCATGAGATGGTTGAAATTAGTAACATGGGCATGTCTAGAATGAAGGGATAGAGCAGAAATTTTACCATATGACACAGAGTCTACTAGAAGCCCCCCAAAAGGATTATTCATTTGCTCATGCATGCTTTTATTTATGGATGATATTTTATAGAGCAAATGAATCTACAATTACAAATTGCATGAAAAAGATTAGACACCCACAAATGGTCACCTTCATTACCCACAAAAAGAAAACCAAAAAGTCTACATCCATGTTCTTAAAGATTCAAACCCAGTAGAGTCTTTAGCTTTTCATCTAAAAAGACTCTATACATTTTGGGGAAATCGAAGATAAATGCAATTCAATTGATTTACGAATCTTTTCAATTACAAAACCCAATTCGTCCTTTGCCATCATTGACATATCAAAATCAGATATATTTGCTAAAATGCAAGACAATGAACTTACAAAACCTTCACTATCAGGACCACATCCTAAGCTAGAATTTGAACAAAAATCAAGATTGCTCACTTCAGATGGCCACAAATAGATCAATTTTCATGTTTACTAGTGTGGTGAATTCTAGTTCAATACAGAATCTAATTGTGACCTTCGTATTTACTAATATGGTGAATTCAAGAAAGGAAACTAACAATAAAATGATGGCAAGATCACACTTTTCTAGCAAAACAAGCTAAACCCAGATCATATTGGTGTAAAATGTAAAGAAATCCCATCTTGAAAACGCATTTCACCGACGACATACATCATGAATCTAAGCATATACATACAGGATATTTGTTATGAAAAAACAAAGAATCTCACCGACAGGACTGAAGGCCAAGTGCAGAAAGCAAGCAAAAGAATGAGTAAGCCGCCGTGATGAAGCTTCATGACGTTGGCAGCGTCGGTAAAAGCGAAGGTGGTGAAGTAGAAATGAAGAAGAAAGGGTGTGAGGTAGAAGCAGATCATAAATGTAGGGAGAAATTAAATCAAGTCACATGGCGAACATTTCTTTCTTTCTTTCTCTTTCTCAAGTATTCACATGGTACAGAAGAAAGAGTAGCTGCTATGAATTTATTTTTATTTTTATTTTTATTTTTATTTTGCCACAGAGACAGATATAGAGAGAGTGTGTGTGTGTGTGTGTTTACGTGTCGTTTTCTAATTAATTATTAGTAGAAGAAGCGACCGCTGGTTATAATTTACGTGTCATAGCATCGACATTAATATGGAATTTATTAGCATGCATCCATTTTTAAACCAACCCAATATTTATAAGATTTATCCCCGCATTTAATATATTCTTTTATTACCACCATTTAAGTGGTTATTATTATATTAAATAGAATAAAAAAAACACAAAATTACTTATTAAAAGTCGTTAATATCATTTATTCGTTTACATCATAAGATTATTTTAAAGGCAACAAAACTTTATTAAAAACAAAATAAATATTAAAAAAAAATTAGTATGATGTATAAAAAACCAGTAAATCAACAATAATACTAATAAAAAAAAATACAATCGATTGGATTACTATGATGCAAATCTCATCAAGAATCCATTAAAATAGCATCATCTATTTGTTCTTATTAAGACACATCAACTCGTAATAATAAAGATAAATATTGAAAGTATCATGTTGTTAATAATAAAAAATTTATTGATGATTTTAATAATAAAATCAGTATATTTATTAATGCTTTAAAAATGAAAATATGTCTTTTCTGTTGAGACTTGAAGTTATATACTTATTCAAGAATTGTTTTGGATTCGATCCATCTCTTGAAACCACTCTTTTGATTCAAAATTGTGGTGTAACGTCTATTCTCCCATATTCCAGTAATAGAATAAATGAAATAAATCACAAATGGATTTTGTTCGATGATGAAATCTTGTTGAAATTCTCCAAATCCACTTTATCCTTCGGAACCGTATTACATCCCGAATCTAATGAAATATGATGAATTGAAACGGTTTTTTGTAAATACGTAGTTATCTTGAATGGATGAATCATTTCTTTATATAAAAAAGATCTTGTTTCTTCAACAAATTCTGGTCCCTAGTGAACGTTTTAGTAGGATTTGAAACTAGATAAAGTTCTTACCATCTGTTAGAGAAAAAAGAACAAATAAATCTTATAAATTCCTCAATAAATCATTTGATTTCTTTTGAAAACAGATGATTAATCGGCATCTGCCAACAAATGAATTTGAGCGATCCTCATATATCTCAAGATCATTTCCATTTTTCAATCATTAACATTCTCTCAAACCAAAATGTAACACCATAGTTATGTTTAGTTATATTATTGATACATTAGTTTGTTTGTAACAAAAACACAGTAAAAATAACAATTTAATACCCATATATATTAGTTGTTCAATAACTATTTTAAATATTTTATAATCTAAAGCATTAATCATACTCCATAAATATTCATATCATAATATATAGTTACAGATCATCAATACAAAAAAGGTGAAAGTATAAAATAAAATAAACAATTTAGATCAGGATTGTATTTGAAACATGTTATATATATATATATATATATATATATATATATATATAGTTGGATTCCGGTGAGAATGAAAATTATAGTGAAAAGAGTAAGAATGGATCTCTACTTTTTGATCAATCATAATTGAAAATCAACACTGATACGATGCACCTGAATGCATCGAATCAATTCATGTGATAAACGTAATTTATATGTAGAGACGAATTAAAAGCGATCAAGGGGTTAAATCTTTTCTACGTTTTTCACAATAATTTTCATTCTCACGTTATGTTCACTTTATATATATATATATATATATATATATATATATATAATATTGAATTAATTAGTTTTATATTATGATAAATTTATGTGAATCGATGTCATACATATAACAAAATGGAAGCCATATAGGACGGATAGGTTTCGATGTTGGTGTTGGTTGCAGGTGAATTTTAATGTAAATACGGACGTAGGATACTGTCTAGGATGCACCGACGGTGGTCAAAGTCGTAAATTTTTGTTTTGTAACGTTGGAAAGTGGGGTCCATGTAATTGTAACGTTTATAGGTTGTGGGTGTTGGCACAATCATTGAACACCCCACTCACTCACCCGTCCCATCCCTGCTACCCTTTCTTCCCATGCATACACCTCCATCACATTACCATGTACCCATTCTTCCCCAAAACTAAAGATACCTTCATTTATCAATTATATTTGAGAGTAACTCGTGTTTATTAAATGCTTACTTGGTAGGTGTTTATTGGGTAATTTTTTTCAGCAGATGAATACGGGTAAAACCCAAGAATCTTATCCAGTAAGAGTGATAATAAATATAGAGAGTCTTACCCGATAAGTAAGGGTAACGACTCTTACCCGGATAAGTGTTTACCAAGTAAATTGTTGCAAATCATTCCATTTTGATGTATTATGATCTTATCCATAAAATAAATTAAAGTATTGACTTGTAACGGTAAACGCTTACCGGATAAGCATTTAGGTGAACAGCCCCTAAGTTACATGATTATATATTTGCTTAGCATGGTTGTCACAAGTTCACGGATCTTTTTAACGGTAGTTAGTTTTAGGGATTAAAAGTGAAGAAAAGTGGCAACCACAATGACCAAAACTGTAATTAATTTAAAAAATGGACGAGACTTGATATTAGGTGGCAACCATATAGACCAAAAGCTTAATTTACTCCATAAGTTAATATAGTGTATTTTTTTCAATGTAGAAAATAATGTATATTTCTTTATACATGCATTTATGATTTGTTTGGTAAACTAATTGAGAAGTTAGATTTTTTTCTTTATTTTTTTCTTTATAAAAACTAATGTATATTTCTTTATACATGTATTTATAATTTGTTTGGTAAACTATCTGATAAGTTAGCTGGTGGTTGATAACTTTTGATCAATAATAACATATTAAAAAATAATTAATTTTAACATTCAATAATATATTTATAACACACCTAATAATATAATATAGCAATTATTACAAACTAAATGTTAACATAAATTTTATAATATAATATATTCATTAACAATATTTTAAATTGATTTATTATATATAAAATTTATAATAAATTTTTTAAAAGATATTAAAATAATAATTAAATTAAATATTTTATTAAAATATTTGTCGCAGTTTTATTGTTATAAAACAAAATAAATATAACTTCAACTTTTATATGTAATTGAAAGAATATTTTTAAAACTGTTATATTTGTTTTTTTTACTATTAAATATATTGAACAATGATAAGAATAATATTAATATAGAAATAATTGATAAGATTAAATTACAACTAAAATGAATTAATAATTTCAAATTAATATTAATATTAATTAATAATTAATATTTGTTAAATACTTATAATTTATAATAACAAATAAAAAATTATTCCCGAAAAAAGTGACAAGAACCTCCTGAAACTTATTGAAACGTTACCATCTGTTAGCTTATAAGCTACTTGTTATCCATCAAAACAGGACTTTTACGAAAAGCTCAAATAATAAGCTGATTTATATTTACTAAACTTATCCTTAATAACATTTTCTATCAAATATAATATGTGATAATCGGATATTGCATGAAACAACACATCATTTTATTAATCAACTATATAAATGTAACAGATGTGTTGCAAAAAGTCTATATCGAATTAAGTAACAATCTTATTTTACACATCATACGAATGCTTCAGCATAACCTCTCTTTTTTTCGATAATTCACTGTGTATTTATCTAATTGTGTGTGTTTGTCTTTTTTATCTCTTATTTTACACATCATTTTGTCGTAAAATTGTGGAGATTATTGATGGAAGTGTCATAAGTTATTTTGATAAATATATACATTTATTAACCGACAAATATCCAAATTGTTCCATGTATTATATCTTTAATTGATTGCTATAAAATATTTTATTTGATTGTATTATCATGATCGACTCGATAAACGTGCCGTTTTAGAACGTGAAGACACCATTCATTGGGATGTATACCATGAACGACGTCAAAAAATAAATTAATTCGGGTCAAGATGTTGAAATTGTAATATTTTATCGCTGATACAATACTTGCGGTAAGTATTATTTTTTATTGAATTTTTCCAGAAAAAAACAATCAAATGCTTTTTATAAATATAAATTATAAAATGAGTCCTATAAAACCGAGTCTTGTGAATTTGAATTTCAAAAATATTATGGACAGGTCCGTCCGACCCTTTTATATTTTTATAATTAATTGTTTTTTATTAAAAAAAAATTTAGAAACTTGTTTGTCTGGCTTTGGATTGGACTCCAATTGTCTTTCAAATATATGTCATATGTTATGATACATCTCAAATCACGATCCGGAAATATTAGGTATGAAATATTATAGGGTGGGTACAGGTAAATTATCGGTTTTGCAAAAAAAAAAAAAAAAAAAAGACATTTGATTTTAGATGTATGTAAGGCACCGTTTAGAATGTCAACATATATTCTTTTTCTTATTTTAGTTTGACATTATCTTCTGTCAATGGCCGAATTTAAGAAAGTCTGATGTCTGAATATCCACAGTATGGACGTCCACATGTTTAAATTTAGAACAAACGCTACAAAGTTCGATAACTACAAAAATATTCATACATCTTTTGAGATATTTCCGATTAAATACTCATATGCAGTTAATATTTTAAACCACTTGTGTTATTTCATTGATATTTATAAGTGGTCCACTTTAAAACAGAAGCGTGTAGTTTTATTTTGTACGATGATTTGTGTTATGTCGTTAAATAACAACATATAATGGAGCGATGTGTTTCAATGTGAGGTTGAGAAACGTATATATGCTAAGTTCGTTAATGATTCTACATTGACATGGGTGTTTCTCCTTTTCCTCGAACTTTTATGTTTTCACATTATTTGTTTGTGTCTTAAGTGAAAAGGTATTTGGCAAAAATATTCGATTGTGTCAAACGACCGTCCCCTGTT